ATTTTTCCTACTGAAAGAAGAAGGCTGTAGGGGGAGAGAAAAGGAAGAAAACACTTTGAAAAGCACTGTTCCTGCTTGTATTTGTGCTTGAAGCCAATAGGACAACTCATGTGTGGAAGAGTAAACAACTGCATAATTCCTTTCAGGACCAAGGCTGTACTGGCAAAACTAACAACTTTGATGACAGGCTTCCCAGAGAGGCAAAGAGCTGAATGAAGCGTGAGCTGCCCTCATAACCTTGGACTCAATGGACATCAACATGTTATCCATGGACTTGACTGAGCTTATTCCTCTGGGGTCAAACAAAAGTATATTGGAAAAAAGTATATAGGAAAAACTGCTCCCTGAAGGCTATGAGATTTCTATACAGGTAAAAATTCCAGAGGGGTTCTCACATCTACATTGAAAGTTTGAAAGAACCAATAGAAAGTATCTATTCTTTCTAGCTCAGATCTGCAGCACATTGTTCAAATGAGCTTATGTAGTTAATTCCCTTCTGAATTGCTAAATATAATATATTGCAATGGTCAGTAGACAAAGACTTATGGATATTTTTTTCAAACAACCCTTCAGCAGTGCCACATCTTTATAAAATATTTTAATTAAAAGCTGCAATTTAGCTTCCACATGGCAGGAGCTCAAATAGGTTCAGTTTTTTATTGTATTTTTTAAAGGTGGATATGTTTTAATTAGATATTTATCCATTATACAGATTTTAAACTTCAGTAGGAGACAGATGCTGATCTTGGGTAAAGTGACAAAGCTTACCTGAAGTAAAAGTATCTATTGTATCACATATCAGCTGGTCCTAAATGCTTCTGAAACTCTAATGACATTAAAAGACATATACAGCCTGTCTTTATTAATCTAACTAATATTAGAAAGCACTGTAACTAAAATGGTATCTAATCAAGCACTTAATGCTCTGTTTTTTACATCAAACAGCCATGGGATAAAATGTGTATAATACCTAAATATTTCTTACAGCAATGGCTAACAATCAAGGAATAAACATCGATGAATGCTGTCGTGGTTTATCCCCAGCCGGCAACTCAGCACCACGCAGCCACTCGCTCATTCCCCCCATGGTGGGATGGGGTAGAGAATCAGAAGAGTAAAAGTGAGAAAACCCGTGGGTTGAGATAAAGGCAGTTTAATAGAGAAAGCAAAAGCCACACATGCACAAGCAAAGCACAGCAAGGAATTCATTCACTGCTTTCCACTGGCAGGCAGGGGTTCAGCCATCTACAGGAAAGCAGGGCTCCATCATGAGTAATGGTGACTTGGGAAGACAAACACCGTCACTCCAAATGTCCCCCCCACTTCCTTCTTCACCCAGTTTATATACTGAGCATGATGCCCTATGGTATGGAATAGCCCTTTGGTCAGTTTGGGTCAGCTGTCCTAGCTGTGTCCCCTCCCAGCTTCTTGTGCCCCTGGCAAAGCTGAGAGCTGAGAAGTCCTTGGCCAATCTAAGCACTACCCAGCAACAACTAAACCATCAGTGTGTTATAAACATTCTTCTAGTACTAAATCCAAAATACAGCACTATGCAGCTACTAGGAAGAAAATTAACTCTGTCTCAGCAGAAACCAGGACAAATGCCTTAAGCCTTCATGTCCATTCACTTCCCCAGTGAATCTCTGAACACAAAACAGAGCAAGGTCAGAAAGGACCAGATGCAGCTGCAGTACGAATGGGTGGAAGGGAAAGGACCATGGAGGGAGCCTTGATACTAGATTGAATATGCACATCAAGATAATGAGTTATTTTATTTTTTTACCCACAGTTGTTTCAGAGTCTTTCCCCCACATTGTTTCAGAGAAAAAGGAAAGTGTCTATTCTTTAGGCTGATATATGCAATTAAAACTTGTTTTAATGGGCAAACCCATTTAAGACATTAAAAATGACAGGCATACTTAAATACATCAATAATTTCACTGAAGCCATCAGAAAATAAAAACATTATTTAAAAATAATAAGCTTGTTGGTTTTGTTTTGCAGTAGTGTTTCTCCTAACACAAAATTTTAATTGCAGATTAGTTTTATTCTGGTAGTCCTGTTGATAGATTTGAGGCAAGCAACATATATCATTAATTGCATTGTGTAGGGCATCACATTTCAGACAAGAGCTTTGTCTGACCCAGCTACTACAGCCTGTCTGATTGTTGTGGAATTGTCATTAAATGGAAATGATGCCTGGGAATGTTGAACTTAATGTTATGTTTCCAAATACCATGAATAACATTACAGTAGCTTTAATGAATTTCATAGGAGAAAAATGTCGTTAAACAAAGCAACAATATTAGCACTGCTGCCCTGGCCAAATTCCAATCTGGCTAATTGCATTCTGACACCTACTATTTCTCAGCTGTTTGAATTTGGGTATGGTTTTGTACCTCACTGTTTGTTCATTGATATGTTAATACCATACATTGTCAGACCATTGCTGTCTGTCACCCCAGAGTTAGCTGGCTACCACTCTTGACTGTTCAAGTACTTTTAATGAAGCTGTAACTACAGTATATGACCTTGAAAAGATTCCTTTCAATCTAACTTCCCACAGTTCATCAAGTTAGATATTGCTCAACCTAACAGGTAAGCATAGATGTAACTTATTTCAGTGTTTGTTAAACATACAGCACAACCTCACTTCCTAGTTCTGAAATAATGAGCTGCCGAAGTTCATTAACATGTGCAGAGATGACCTCCCACACATTAATGTTTTAGTTAAGGTCAGAGGGTCACCCTGAGCAGTATCTCCTAATCACCTCCACTTAACCGTGCTTTGCTTTGAATTGTGGAGTGGTCTCTGAGAACGTTACCTGAACTACAGATTAAATTTAAGTGAAGGTATCCTCCAGGATCACAACTTATATACCTCAGCACTAGCTAATCATGGAGACAATGGCCCTGGAGTAGAGCTTGTCTAAAGTTAAAAATAAATTCCCAGAATGTGGACTTCAGATAAAACTCTTTTGTTCTACAGTCTTACTCCTGTTGGCTCATGCTGTTTGCTTGTGCAGAGGTAGTCATATTCAAGTACTTTATTGAAAAGAGCATATGTGCATTGTATTATCTTACTTGTCTTTGATAGAAGGGTGTCCCATGTCTCAAAATCTGGATTGCAGAATATCTGAGAAAACCCTTCTGGCATTGCCTTGTCTGTTACAGTTGTAGAGGGGTTATGGAGGAAAAGATTCTGATTACCTAAATCCTGGCTCATTGAAAGCTTTAAAAAAAAAAAAAAAATAGGACCACAATTTGGAATTTCCTTGATACACATTCAGGCAGCATCTTCAGTGGCAACACTGTATAACAGGTATTTTGTGTGTCTGTCACAGCTCAAAGACATAATTTCTAATATAATTCCCAAGAGCCTCCCCATGCCCTTTAATCTTGAGCGCTGTTTGTGATATCCAATTCAGACATTCACACACACTAATTTTCCTTTTCGGGAGATGAGACTAGATCATCAAGGAGCAAGTAAGACATTTAAATCAGGCGTATATTTTGTATACACATTGACAGTGATTAAAATATAAATGCCCAACAAAACATAAGATCAGAAAGAGGTAGTACCAAACATAACCCTTTTCCAGGAGTCTTCATATCACTTACTGAATAGAGCATTCCTGAAAAACCTCATCTATAGGTAACCGTGAGTAATCAATCATATCCCATTTCTGTTGGGATCAGGTGCAATGTCCTGTTTGCTCAGCAGAACAACTGAATCCACATCCCTCCCCCATCTGGTAGGTAAGTACCCCAGAAGCTGCACAGATTGTAGTCCATGTTGCACATGGCACTGTTGTTTGAAGTCTCAAGCTGTGTGTTAAACTGCAACTGGATTGTCACCATTAAGGTTTTGTCACAGTACGATCTTGGGGGAAAAAGTCAATGATCTGGAAACAGATGTGAAGTTTTAAATGTACATCATTAGATCTTCAGGACACATTTCGGGCTGAACACTGCCTTGGATTTTCTTCAGGTAGAAGAAAGAAGACAAAGAAATTGGGAGAAAAGTGACAAGATAAGTGGAAAAAAGTAGACAGGATCACATGATTAGACAGGTGCTAATGAACTGAAAACCACCATTTTATTTAACTGTTACATATGTCTTCACAGAAGTCAGTCATTCGAAAGCAATTGTATTGTGTGTAAAGAGCCTTTTAAGATTTCCGTATAGGAAAACATTTTTTTCCCCCCTTTTCAATGTTTCAGCGTAAGATTAAGGATATTTTCCATTCAGCACCAGGTCACAAACAAGCCGTTTCTAAGATAGCCTCTCTCTAACTCATTCCCTCGCACACACACACATCAAAATAACCAGCAACGAGGAAGTGGAGAGGAAGCAAAAGGAAAAGAGTGAGCAAAGATTACTAAAGACTTTGAGACCCACAGTCAATGCCCTCATAGTCAGAGAAATCTACTGCTCTTGGGTGGTGGCGGCTCAAATCTTGTACACACATCAAAGTGAATTCAACTCTTGCATGTCCCCATCTTACCTAAAGCTCTAATAACATAGCCACTGGCTTTTCAGGCAAAGATAATCTTATAGGCATTTGTCTATTTTAACTAGATTTTTTTTTCAGTCTGAGTTTGAAAAACCTTGAATTAAATCTAATACATTTATGAAAAACTCTGTATTTAATGGTTGGTAACTTGCAAAGAAAATAGGTTTTTTGGCTCAAAGATCCTGACTGAGTCTATTTCCATGTTGAACATATATATAACTTCCAATGAAAATAGTGGGACTCCTTTTCAAATAAAAACGAAGAACATTTGGATGTGATTGGCCAAGACTACTTTAAGACCCATAACATATAATTTAAAAACACTGCTAAATCTTTAATCTATTAACAAACCTTGTGTATTGCTCTTTGATTAAACCTCATCTTGTGTTAATAATTCTCAGTAGCATTGTACAACATGTGCTACAGAAATCACAAAGGTAGCTAAGGAAAACCAAGGTAAAACCAGCAACAGAAGTTCCTTACCTGTCTGAACTCTTTAAGATCTATTTTGTTTCCCACCAGCACTAAGGGGATGTCATAGGTGTGCCGGACACGATAAATGAGTTCCTTAAACTCAGCAGCTTCTTGAAAGGATTGGCGATCTGTGATGGAATAGCAGATAATGAAGCCTTCTCCACCTCGCATGTATTGGTCCCTCATGGCTGTGAATTCTGCCTGTGGAACAGGAAGGACATGCTCAGTAATTTGGCAAAAAAAAATTATCTATCTTACAATGAACTTGCTGAAAAATTCCCCCACTCCCTAAAAAATTCCACATTGCTTCTTTTCTGTTCTAGATACTGCTTACTGAAACTTGTGTATCCTTCTGGGGTCATCATTCTGGATAGTATACCACCAGGATTTCTCTTAGGACCTTGTTTTTTCCTTTTTCCACCAAGACAACTCTGTCCTTTTATTATGCCAGTGCCTGTGTACAGAAAATACTGTCTTGTGTATTTCTAGATCCTTCTGCAGCACTTCTGGTAAATATAGATGACTTGCAATTGAATGAATACTATCAGGTGTAAAAGAAGAGCTATATTACTATCTAGGGATGGGAGACAAACTCCTTATTATGCACTCACTTCAAAAGCTCAGTAATATCAAAAAGACATTCGTTGACTCCCACCAGCTTTGGAATAGTGCCTAGTAAAACAGGAATATAATCTACAAAAAGTTCTGCTCTTTCAAATGCTCTCAGAGAAGCTGGGGGTTTCAGTCCAGTGTGAGATAATACTATTAAATGAAAATGTACAATTTCAAATACTGTGAAAATTTGAGGACAATTTGCCTAATTTTCCCCTCCTGCATTTTCCTCTATGTATGCATTTATTGTCACAACAACACTTCCGATTATAGGTATAGTTTTTCAGGAGTATTTAACTGCCACATTGTACAAAAATAGAGATTTGGTTTTCAAAAATTAGTCTCAGGCACTGTGGCTTCAGAATATGTTTTAAAGCCTGTTTCTTTTTCAAGTTTGTTTTCTCTTCTTGATCACAGCCCAGAATAACCCAATACCATGGCAACAGTCGGTCAGGATCAGAATCCTCCTGACAGAATCAGTTCTCCAGAGATATTAAGATGCAGGAAGGTCTGATAAAGCAACGAATACACATATCAACGTTGGACCATTTCTACGAGCAGCAGGATGCAATATGAAGTCCTATATTTTTTACTCTGTTGAGAATTTAGGCTAGGATTTTTAAAACAGTTTAGATTATATATATATCCTCAGTTCTTGCTGAAAATTGAAGGGAAATAGATTGCTTCTGCTCTTTTAAAAGTCTCAGCCTTAAATCTCTCTCAATAGTCACTCATGTTGATTGATAATACTTCCTGTGAATAGACTTTTGTGTTGACCATTATCATTTATTCATGATGTATCTTTTACCCAAGGGCTTTCTTATATATCATTCAAAATATTTCACCTGCTACAGGAGAAAGTTCATAGACTAACCTCCAAAATAGCAGACTAATAGGCAATTTAAGGGAAGAATTCTGTTTTGAGACTTACTAGGAATTTCAAAATGTCTAAACTATTGCTGCTACCATCCCAGGAGAGTTTATTAACTACCAAGCTACAGCATAGAGTGGATAAGAACATATTCTAACCCATCCTCTTGTAACTGTATGTGTAAGAAGTTGGCCAGCAGCGGGGAGAAACATAATGGATGTCAAGCAAAAAGTATTATACACTTTACTGGCTTGGGTGAGACAATGAATGGAGATCTGCCTCTGTTCCCAGGTCTTTGTTTGCCATCTATATTAAATAGCCATCATGTTAATAAACAATGCAATACCAAACTGGAGACCATACCCAAGGTGTCCAGATTATGGGTAGGCAGTGTTAATGGATAAACACAGAGACCTCTCCCTTGCTCACCCTCAGATCCCAGGCTTTCCCACCAGAACAAGGGTCTCTCTTGTAGCCCCCAATTTTCTTCTCTTTACATCAGCCATCTAGAACTGTTCTGCATCATGATTAGTAGGGTTGTCTCCTTTGTAGAAGGAGCTGAACAAGGCCAGGATCCCTTCAGGCTAGGCAGACAATGGAAAGCTTATGTAAAGTTAAACCTGTGGACTAAGATTCCTGAATGTAGCTGTTTGTAGCTGCAGGCCACTCTCTAAACTCCTGTTGCAGATAATGGTAAAATAGACAATGCAATCCGTGGACTACAGATTGCTTCTGCTGATGAAAAATAAATATGCCTTTAGTTATCTAATTATCTATTTTTGTTTATCTGTTTTTGGTTTTAGAGTGAGTTGAACATTTATACCACAAAATGGAGCTGCTAGCTCCATGTAGACACCTAAAAGTAGATGTTTTGTTGTGGAGCTTAAATCCCAGACCAGATGACCTGTCTTCCTAGGTTAAAGATTTCATAAATCAACTTCTTCAGCACCGTATGATTATTCTGCACAGACTATTTACAAAGAATGAGCTCTTCTTAGTAAGTTTATCCACCTCTAGGAAGTGCTCAGAACTTTGTACACTCATTTATAGACATTTATGTCAAGCTAAGAAGGCATTAGATCACATATTCGTGTTTAAGTTACTCACAGTAAGTGACTTGCTACAGCATGAAGACTCTCAGGATCACTCCCCAGGAATACATAATGGCTTTCCTTGACTGCCAGGAGACTCTGGGTTCCTAATTTTACACATTGTGAGTCATGCTGAAAGGACGAAGTTCTCAGCTTTTAGGCACTGCCATTCTTCAGTTGGACTCATTTACCTATGTGTTCTGGTTCATGCCTTGGCATAATTATGACTTTAAGGATATGAATTAATTTACTTCTGCAATTTTTTATTATGACATTTTATTGCTGCTGATGTATTAGACTAAACAGCCAAAATACTTTAGTGTCATGCTTGCAGTGATCCATTTTCACAGGCATTAATTATTCTATGCAAACTAGATTGAGGATATCCACTTGGTTTTCTGTTTTTCACTCAGTTAGTAATTTCCTTTCTTATTTTTTGATGTTGACTTTCACTTGTCAGCATTTTCCCCTTGGCATCGTTGCTCATTACAGAGTCAAGGACTCCAAGGTCAAATATATAAAACTTTTCTTGGATTTAAAAAAAAAAAAAGTGATCTTTTTTTGTTCTGTTCACCAAGAACCCCAACTTAATAATATATACTAAGAAAAAGGCTAAATACAATTTCCATTAAACATACTCTAACACTTCCAATAATGTATGCATATTATATATAAAGGACAAAGGACTAAGATGTAATTAAACCTCTTTGTTCATTTTTTAGTTCAGATCCTACTCCAGATTTCACAGTTTACATGTATATCTACAGTAAGGAGAGTCAGGATCCAAGTTTACCTGGTTTTGTGGATGTTCAGAGGTTCAAAGGTTTTACAGATTTTTCAATGGTTTTATTTTTATATTTTGCCTGTTTCTCTTATAAAATAAGCAGCAGTGTATCTGTGCAGCTGGCACATTGATATATTCTTTAACTGATCCTGCTGCAAAAGTAGCTTTTAAAAAAATTATTCAGGAATAGTACTAGATGTCATTTGCTACTTAATAGGGGGAAAATATGAAACATGCCCAAGTCAGTAAATGCCAAAGGGAAGAGACAGAAGGAAATCACACCTCCTCAAAAAGAAATCAATTCTGAGAAATAAAGTGAAGATTTCTCATGCTTATAGCACTTTGCAGCTTCACATCAGTCTCTAATACTCTCTTGTGTATTATGATTAAGACTTAACTGAAAAGTGTGATAAGAAATCTTTTGAAACAAAATCACCATTCTGCTTAGGAGAGATGTTATACTTGAGAATGAGCATCAAGTCTGGATAGAAACAAAACTTTTCTAAAAGTCAAAAGAAGGCAGCTGTCCTGTTTTCAGTTGGGATGGAGTCACTTTTCTTCCTAGGAGCTGGCATAGTGTTGTGTTTTGGATTTAGTTTGAGAAGAATGTTGATAACACACTGATGGTTTAGTTGTTGCTAAGTAGGACTTACATTAGGAAAGGACTGCTGAGAGGGACCTGGGAGTCCTGGTGGATGACAAGCTGACCATGAGCCAGCAGGGTGCCCTTGTTGCCAAGAAGGCCAAGGGTATCCTGAGGTGCATGAAGAGGACTGTGGCCAGCAGGTTGAGGGAGGTTCTCCTCCCCCTCTACTCTGCCCTGGGGAGACCCCACCTGGAGCACTGTGTCCAGTTCTGGGCTCCCCAGTTCAAGAAAGATGAGGAATTCCTAGAAAGAGTCCATAGGAGAGCAACAAGGATGATAAAGGGACTGGAACATCTCCCCTACGAGGAAAGGTTGAGAGAGTTGGGCTTGTTCAGCCTGAAGAAGAGAAGACTGAGAGGGGATCTCATCAACACATACAGATATCTCAAGCGTGGAAGTCATGAGGACAGAGCCAGACTCTTCTTAGTGGTGCCCAGCGACAGGACAAGGGGCAATGGGCACAAACAGAAATATAAGAGGTTTCAGTTGAATATGAGGAAGAACTTCTTTACTTTGAAGGTGACAGAGCACTGGAACAGGCTGCCCAGGGGGGTTGTGGAGTCTCCTTCTCTGGAGATATTCAAAACCCACCTGGATGGTGTCCTGTGCAATATGCTCTAGGAGAACCTGCTTTAGGAGGGGGTTTAGACTAAGATGATCTCCTGAGGTCCCTTCCAACCCTTGCCATTCTGTGATTCTGTGACTTTTCAGCTTCCCCTGATCTGCCAGGGGCACAAGGAGCTGGGAGGGGGCACAGCCAGGACAGTTGACCCTGACTGGGGGGACTTTTGGAGTGATGGCATTTGTCTTCCCAAGTAACCATTATGCGTGATGGATCCCTGCTGTCCTGGAGATGGCTGAATGCCTGCCTGCCCACGGGAAGTAGCGAATGAATTCCTTGTTTTGCTTTGCTTGCATGTGTGTGGCTTTTGCTTTCCCTATTAAACTGTCTTTATCTCAGCCCATGGGTTTTTACACTTTTACTCTTCTGATTCTCTCCCTTATTCCGCCAGGGGATGAGTGAGGAAGAGGCCATGTGGTGCTTAATTGCTGGCCAGGGTTAAACCACAACAGCAGTGTAACTTTCTCCTTTTTTTCATTATAACTGAATGCAGAAAAAGCCTGATACTAATTTTCATAACCTTATATATGTCTACCTGTTGCTGAAGAATGCTAGCAAAAAAATCTCCCCATGAC